AATAAATTAATGCCTTCTTGATATATGAAAAAATTAAATATTATGAACCACAAGCCAACAAATCAATTAAAGTGGACCGGGGGAGTATTATAAAAGAACAAAATGCCAATACATATAAAATTTTGCTTATCAACTCTATCTTTATTTGAAGTATATAGAAAGCACTAATACTTAAAAATTTAAAATCAATTAAATTTTATCTTATATAAATTATATATTATTTGAACTATTAATCATAACTCTTTATTATATTTATATAATCTTTTAAATATTTATTTCATTAAAATGGGATACATGCGAAATCACACGTAAAAGCACGAATGCCTTAAGTAAAATATTGTTTATATTTTTTACCGTTTAAAACTAAATTTAACATTGAATAAAATGTGTCATTTAGTAATTTTCGAATACTTAGGACTTTCACATTAATAACTAAAATTTTGACTATTAGATATTTTTTTATATTTGAACTAGGTAAAAGGTCATAATATTTACGAATTTAATATTTATTTATATAAATATAATTTTTTTCCTTATTTGGATTGTTGTCTTTTACAAATTCCTAAAATATAAGTCCATCTTTTTCTTTTCAAAAAAGTCACTATCGTTTTTAATTTAGAAAAGAACCTCCCTTCCATGCATATTCAAGGACTCATCAAGGTTGTTTTTCGTACTTTTTCTCCTACTTTTTTTGATTTAGAATACTTTTAACCTATAATCTATTACTTTAATCTATATCTATATTATTATAAAAGCATGAATATAATGTTGGTTGACAAAAATATCCTTAAAAATTAAATTATCTTTTCAATACAATGTACAAAAAGGTAAACTCAACAAATTCGTCTTGAAAGTCAAATAACTCTAGGAGTCTATATACTTACCTTTCCCGCAACTTTGAAGCGTGGGAATGTTGAATTATATTTGGAGAAGGGATTAAAAAAGTTAATTAATTTTTGAATTTTAAATCTTTACGAATCTAATATAAAAGGAAATTTAATACTAAATTCTACAAACATTTATATTATTCTAAACGAAGTGGAAAGTTCCTTATACCCTTTAAAGTCTTAATTGATATTAATTCATATAAAGTTAAATATAAATTAAGTTAGATATCTTTTGTGATATAAAGGGATAAATATACCCCTCTATTTTGATATATTATTCATATTTACCCTTCGTTATACTATGGAGTCAAATTTACCCTCACTGTTAGCAAAATTTTCAAATTTACCCTCTAATCTAACGGAAAGCCCCAAATCCCTTCTATTTACTGTAATTCTTCCTCACTAATCAATCATTTCCTTCGTGTGATCCACCAGAGAAGAAAAAAGGTCGATATTAGAAATGAAAATGTGGAGTTACAACATAATTTTCTCCCTTGTCTTTGGTTATGTTTAAACCATAAATGAAAGGCATAATTCACAGTTTATGGGTGTCTCCAACGGAATGGGGATGAGTGAAATACCGTAGATAATTTGAAAGAGATTTATTTAATTCTTCAGGTGGTTGAAATACATTCGCTTATGAAGTTGTTACTAATATTTACTATTTTTTATGGACTACTGGCATAACAAGGCCGTAGGTATCCATGTAAATGCATTCCCTTTCGAATTTGAACTTGGCATGTCTTTTGATGTAAATTTTGCTGGCGCAAGCACTTTTGCATGAAATTTATGACATATAATTTTTTAGTATTGTCTGAGAAATCCTAAATTAAATGATCTGTTTAAATTTATGTTCAGCTTCAGAACATCCTTTCAAAGAAATATTTACTAGTGTTCTCATGCCTAGAGGTGGTGAATTTGGAAAGTCTTCCTGCTCTATATAGTCAAGTGGAACAAGAAATCAACTTGTTGAGGATATTTTTTTCCCTGGTAGAGCACACGTAGGAGATAAGTGATTTGTGAGGGGGAAAATGTAGTAAATAGAAGGAATTTGGGATTTGGGGCTTTCCGTTATGTTAGAGGGTAAATTTGAAAACGTTGCTAACGGTGAGGGTAGATTTGACCCAATAGTATAACGAAGGATAAATGTGAACAATATATCAAAGTAGAGGGGTATATTTGGCCATTTTCCCTATTTTTTATGTTCCTTAATATTAGGATTACTACATAATTCAAACAAATTGAGTTGTTTTTAAAATTTTAAATAATAAAATAACTAAATAGTAATTTCTAAACATGCAATCTAATTTTAAAGGAAAAAAAATACCTGGGGGGGTTTATATGAATATCTTTCTTTTACATGATAATAAAGTGGTTCTAATAAGACAGATGGAATTGTGCTCTTTCATTTATTTTTATTATTTTTATTATGAATAATTAATTTCTTTACAAATTTCTCAAATCAAACCAATGCATGTTAGGTTTTTAGAGCGAGTTCGTCCAAGTCTCCTACACATCGAAGTTTAACAATAATTTTTTTTTGATTGATTTATTTTCACAATTAGATGCTCTGTGCCATTAGTTATCTCTAAATTCAAGATTTATATTCAAATGAAAATCAAAATACTGTGAAATATTATTATCAATGTATTATGTGTTATGATTGGTTAAAAATAATTTGCACAAAAAAAATTAAAACAAAGATTGGATTGGCTCAAAAATACATTAAGATGTTCATATTGAATGTGAAATTCAACTGAAACTTTTCAAACAAATAGAATGCTTACATAATGTAAGGTATTGATTTTATCTTGTATATCATTTTGGAAATATTGCGTTTATGAATTTAAGTTTTTTACAAACTACCTATCTTTTTCATATTTACCTTATTCTAGAAAATAAATATTTATTTTTTATAAAATAAATATTTGTATTGTTTAACCTACTGATTTGTTAAGGAATACGTATGTTAATTTTAGATCACTAGAGTAATAGATTAAATTTATCCATTATTCGTGTTCATATTATTCTTAATAGTTCTTGATAGTATATATTTAAATAATTAAGATTTATCTAATAAATTTAAAATTATTTTGATTCAAACGACGTGGAATGAATTTCAAAATTATTCAAACAAAATATACTTCTTCGTAATTTTTGGTAATATTTTTAAGTAAAAAGGTGTGAGCTCAACCCAATTATTATGCTTCCTGGTATATACAGTTACGATTAATTTTTATCTTTTTAAAAATTTTATATTTTTATTGGTAGGTGATTCTAATGTGTCGGATATACTAGGTGTGGAAAATAATTGCATAGGTAAATGGAGAAAATAATATTGGTTAATATTTGCTAAATTCTTATACTTCGAGGAAACAAATGGCAATAATGATTCATGTGACCATCGTGTATTTATTACTCCAACAATTGTTCAAAACATTATTAAAATTTTCACAACACTGCTATGTTAAAAGATGAGAATAATGATTTATGTAATTACCGTGTACTTTGTTACTCTTACAAATATTCAAACAATTGTGAAATTCCTTCTCAACACTGTTATGCTATATGTATCACGTGCAATTATTTTTCTTACATGACTGTGAATATTATTTTTGTTGTATTTAAAATTTATTATGATTTTATCTTTTATAAATCATTTTCTTATTTGATTCAACTGTTATACTGATAGTATTTCGACAATTTATTGGTGCATTGCATATATATCCCGTATTAATTATTATTACAAATATTCGTACAAGCTTTCATTCAGATACCTTGGAGTCCCGTAAGATTTCAGCTGTGGATTGTGAAATGGCGGATAAAGTGATTACTAAAGTTAGAGGATGGGGATCGAGAACATTATCCTATGCTGGCAGAGTGCAACTGATAAATTCAGTACTCATGCACACACACACGTGTATTGGGCTTCTCTCTTTCTACTATATGCAGAAATTACCTCTGGGATAGGAAGGTGGACACCACTAGAGTGCCTTTATTGTGTGAGCTGGAATGATGCAGCCATTGGCAAGTATGTTTGGAATATTGCTCAAGTGGGTTAACCATCTATATATAAAAGGAGAACCTTAGTGGCAGTATGTAGCACAACATGAGTTGGTATTGGAAAAAGATTTGCCACATTAGAGACAAAGATGGGAAATATTCAGAAGTCAAGCAACACGGCAACATCGAGGTTGGGTATGGAATAACCAAAAACATATCTAAATATAGCTTTATTTGCTGGCTAACTATGCATGGAAGATTACAAACAAAAGACAGGTTAGCTAAGACAGCCAGTGTGTGATATGTAGACAGCCACAGAAACTCTCTCATTTGTTTTTTGAATGCCAGTTCTCTAAAACATGCATAGATAGGGGTGCAAGACATGGAGCTGGAATGGCTATGGAAAAGAGCAACTAGAACAGCAAAAGGGCGCCTAAGAAAGGGCTTTGTGCTAGCTATCATCGCAGCACTGACTTATGGTATATGGAAGCTCTATGGCATAGCACAGTTCCACGACCACAAAGTTTATGCAATCATGTGAAGGAAGAGTGTAAATATCGGTTGAATCATTGCTCGACTCGAAGAGAAGAAAGTTGATGATAGAAAATGGATAAAGGATTTATATAATTAGAGTAATGGTAAGCAAGTTGCAAATGGAATCTCTATAGTGTTTTTCTCTTGTTTGTTGTATTCCCTTTTGTCTGGTGATGAATAAAAAATTCTTTCACCAATTTTAATAATACCTTTCTATTAACAGATAAATAATTACATGAATATTCTAAACACATTATTGATAAACGTAAAAGACTAGTAAAGACAAAAAAAAAAAAAAAAAAAAAGGTAAGTAATTTAAGGTATAAACGTTATTACTGGGTAAAGGCAATCCAATTTTTGGCGTTGGGAAATACCAAGTCCTCGGATATTAACACACATACTTCAATAAACATAGTTCATTTCTTGTCAAAATAGTAATTTCCTTTTGCCAGAAGAGTGAGAATTGCTTGTGGGGTGGACCAAGGACAAGATGGAATTAAAAATCTAAAATTAGTCATAATATTTATTAATTACAAGTGTAAACAATGCATTTTCTTGTATAAAAATTGACTGATCTTGGGACAGCAGCAAATAAAAAACTTGATTATATGTTTGATGCATTTAGATCAGGAGAAAAAAAATAGTAAAACTCCTTAAACACCTATACAAGTGGAAATTTACAAAAGTAGAGCTTGATATAAAGGTAGATTAGCGTTTCATGGCGTGGTATCCTTTTCCACCATTTTGTTTGCTGGTACTTTGTCTGACTTTACAGCATAAGCCGAGGGGAACCATCCGGATTTACCCTTGCATTCTCCCTCGGACCATCCATTTGGAGTTACCTATTGTAATTATATCGGCAATTTAACATATTTTGCTCGCTAAAAAGTAACAATTATCAACAGAACAAAGCAATGAAACAACACAGTTACAATGTCTCAAGTCATGAGCAACGGAATATGTAAAGGATAAGAGGACATATTGTAATAGTTATGATCCAATGTGCAGCCTACAGAACCACATTTCCAAGTGTTGAAGTCCTCAGACGTAAAATGTAGCTTCCCTTCTCCTCAGACTGCGGGACATGGCTTCACGAAATAAATGTATTGTTGCAACCAATTTGAGACACCTAACCAACAACTAAGTTGCAGGGACTCTTCATTTTCGGTGTCACACCCGTGTCGACACGGCATGGGTGTGGGTGTACCGGATTTGGTCAACCAATTTTTGGGTACTTTGACCAAATCGACGGAGAATTCGGAACAAACACAATGACTTCTGAAATCAAAACAAAAGCTAGGGTGAAATTGAAGAAAACGGAATACCTTGTATATAATAATTTCGATGTCAGTCCTTTTCCTTTTATTTTCTTCTCGTATTCTCCTCTTGATCAATATTTTCTCCTTCTCGGAATACATTGTAAGTTTTTCACATGGTGTTTCATAATGTAGACATATTTTTATAATTCTATTTTTATATATTTGCATTATTTTTAGCAAAAACCCCGCACCCGTATCCGTACCTGGATCCGTACCCCAAAATCTTAAAATTTAGATGATAAAGGATCCAACTTCTAGATCCGCACCCGTATCGGACACATGCACCCAAGTCCGAGCAACTTAGACCAACAACATATGGCGCCAATAAACCAGCTCTTGCTGCTGACACTCGTATTCTAATTCTGGCATGTCCCATCAATTAGTCAATCACAGTCGATTTCATTTATGATCCTCGGGGTCATATAACTAGCACCTTGACTTGTCCGCTTGACGCCTGCTATCTCCCACCAGCGCAAAGGCAATTGTAACTCTACCCACCCAGGCTTCGGAAGATGGAAATAATTTTACCGACAACAACAACAACATACCTAGTATAATCCCACAAGTGGGATCTGGGGAAGGTGGAGCGTACGCAAACCTTACCACTGCCTTGTGTAAGGTAGAGAGACCGCTTCCCATAGACCCTCGGCTCGGAAATAACTTTACCTAGTGTCACCTTTTATAACCAGCACTTTTTTAGCTTATCCACACCAATCTTCAGTCATATAGCAGGGGGATCTCAGAAGGTTTATTTGGTTCAGCATATTCAAAAGTTAAAGGCGGCAACTTCAGAAGGGAAAATGTCTAAGCCCCTCACTTGCTGTTGGCTATTTTACACTAAGGAAGGGCGATTGTTAACCTACTATATAATAATATGTCCACAACCAACAGCAGTCTACCACCATATTCGATCTAAATACGGACTTTGTCCTAACATTTAGAAGGATTTGATGAGTCATATTGTTAGTTCCTACAATTACTACTGTTAGAACTGGATAACTGAAAGGGGCATCGACAACGCAAGAGGCCAGTGTCCTGTAGTTTTGGATTTTGACTGATAATGGAGAGATGACAATACCTTACTACAGTTTCGGCATCACTTGTTCTTGCAAAAAAAGTGAAAGGTTTAATATCTACCCCCATAGTTAGAAAAGCTCTTAGGCTTATGAACATATCGTGGAGCAATAAGTATGCAAGACTTGGAACCAAATGGAAAGTTCTGAAACTGATGTTAAATGCCGTCAAGGTACTCCAGAAAATGTCAACTTAAGCATCCAAAGAACAAAAAATAAGACATGATAGTTATATCAAGCAGCAGTCATATAGGCAGTGTAATGTGCTTAATTAGAAATGAAGATATTTACCTGCCGGACTACCACATAATCGCCAGCCTCTAGACTTAGCTCACCATCTGCTTGGGCATCAAAAGAGTGTATAACCTACCGCCAAAGAATCAAGGAGATCAAAGAATATTGAGATTTTGAGATAAGGGTGGCAAGTGGGCCGGTCCAGGCCCGGGACCGCGGGCCAAACGGGCTAAACGGACCAGGACCGTTTGGCCCGGTTTTAGCGGGCCTGGTCCGGTCTCGTGTGCCGGTCCTATGATTTGGGCCCGTCAGGCCCGGGACCGTTTAGCCCGCCAGGGCCCGGGACCAGCCCGGTCCCTTAGCGGGCCAAACGGTCCCAACGGCTATTTTTAAAATAAAAAAAAATAGCCGTTGGACTGTCAAAAATAGCCGTTGGCTATTTATAAAATAACCATTTAACCCCCCAAACTTTGTTTTAATCCCAAACTTTTTATAATTACACTTTTTCCATATTTTCAACTATAAATACCCCATCATTATTTCATTTTTTCCATGAAAGATATTGCCATGATTTTTAATGCTATAATAAAAATATAACGCATTGATTTGAATATATAGTATATAAATCGAATATAGCTTATATATCTTAAAGATGTATATATAGTATAGTATAGTATAGTTCAGTATAGTATATAACATACTATATATACAACTTAAGATATATAAGCTATATTCGATACACACACACACACACACACACACACACATATATATATATATATATATATATATATATAAGATGTATATATAGTATATTTTAAGATGTATACTATCGAATATGGCTTATATACTATGTATATATAATATAGTATATATATATTTTAAGATGTATATATAGTATATAAATCGAATATAGCTTATATATCTTTATTACCATTTTTTTTCTCTAACTTCTATAAAATAAAATAAAAAAATAGAAAATATCTGTTGTGCCCGCTTAGGCCCGTTTGGACCCGTTTAGGCCGGGACCGGCCCACTTAACCCGGGACCGTTAGTTCGTGGTCCCGGTCCCGAGCCGGTTCCAGCAATAAGCCCGCGAAGCCCAGGACCGTTTAGGACCGGCCCGCATAGGACCGGCCCACTTGCCACCCTTATTTTGAGAGGACAAAGGAGTATTCTGTAGAAGTAAATATGCCAACTCTTTAAAGAGTGCCTTACCTTTGCAATAAAATAGGTAGGACTTTTATCCTCAGCTTTTGGATGCTCAGTTCCATTTGAAGTTGTATCATGCAAAACTCTTTCTGAAGTTGAAGATTGCGGGGATGACCCATTTAGTTGCTCTTCTTCAAGCATCTGACTCCCAGAGAAAAATGTTATATATTTCTGTGATCACCTTGTTTATCTCATTCTGTCTCAAGGTAGAAGTTCACTATTCTATCCAGCTTAGAGAAAACTAAAAATCCTGCTAGAATAGTTTAATTCTCATGATTTGGAGGAAATAAAAGGTTTGAATCTACAGACCTCAGAATGCAACTTCTCCAAAATGGCAACAACATTCTGATGATAAGATCTTTCAGCATCGACCTGCAAGCTAAAATCATTTTTAGATAAAGAGATACAGATTTCAACTGGAAGTGATCCGTGCAGAGAAAAAATAATGCAGACAAGAACATTAATATATTAATAGGGAAGAAAAGTAGAAAGCAACGATATAAGTGTTCTCAAGCTAAACAAAATAACTAAGTTCGTAGGGATCTCCAATTGCTGAAGATCAGTCAAGTGGAAATCATGAAAAGGTCATTACAACCGATAGGATTCATTTTATTAACACATTCAGAATTGAAGGGAAAATTTGATTATGACTAGGTATCCCAGATATTTGAGTTTCATATATATGTCATTGTGTTCTTTCATTTCAAATGACCGAAGTTAGCAAATAAAATTCCCAAACATAAATTTATCAATTTAAGGTCATTTTACTAAGCAGTTAAGGTTACCCAATACACATTGTGATGTCAGAACATACACGAATTGAATGAAGAAAGAGAAACCAGCAATACCATGGTAAGAAGCTTTTGGAAAGTAATCTGCTGCTGGTCCTCCTCAACAGATAACATGGCATCAGTTGCTTCTTTGCCAAGAACCAACACCGAAGATTTGAGCTCCGACAATCTTGTTTCTGCATTTTTAAGCTTTGCCAAACTTTCAGTAGAAGCATCTCTAAACTTTGATTGGCGTCTTATCACTTCGGCAGCCTAAAAAGAGCAGGGGAAGCCACTTAGAACTACCAGAATTCTTGCATGAATTGATTACTACCTCATTGAAAAGGGTGTAAAGATCGGCTGATTGTAGGGGTACATTCCTTGGTGATATATGGGACAGATCCCTCTGTTTCCTTACTCTCTTTTTTTAAATAAACAAGCTTTTACACCAGCCCAACCCATCAACCCACCCGAAAAAACAAAAAAAGGAAGGTTGAAAGATACCTGGGCTTCAAACTCCTGGCGCATTCTGTCATAACGGTGAGTCAAATGGCGAGCATCTTCTAAAGGAGCACCGTGTATTAATGCTCTTAACGGCTCACAAACCTACAGCTAAAAGGAAAAATGTTCACACACTATGCGTTCTTGAACCAAGAAATGGCCACAACAACCAAATGTCATTATGCCACATCTAAGACTCATCGAGAAAGAAATACTAGAATGCACAATACATATTAATACTGGAGAAAGGTTCATCATGTTATACCATTTTACAGTTTCACCTACATCACATCTTGGGTTAAAAGCAGTAGAGATTCATACTTCAGGTATCTTGTCATTAGAGGTGTATGACTCATCAATAAAGATCACTTTAGTTCACTATATGAAATGAATTGCTAAAAGCATCTGCAAGTTTTAACCTCTCAGGAGTAGAGTAGATCTCTCCAAATCTAACCATAAGACCCCCAGATAAAATGCTCTCCTATAAGAAAAAATTGTGTGCTTGACCTACTTTAATGCATCATATGATATGTCGAGGATACCTGACTATTTGTTCTTGTTTTTTTGTTTAGACATCAGAAACAGATAGCTTTGCGCTTGAATTATCATATTCTGCCAGGCACATAATACATTCAAGTTTTAAAAAAATGATTAGACCTTGGTTCTTTTTTTGTTTTTGTTTTTTGATAATGGATTAGACCTCGGTTCTTACTGATACATTAATCTTTTTGCATTGCACAAAGAGTGAGAAGTGCATTATTTTGGACCTTATGCATGTCTGTGTTTGTTTTATGCTGTCTAGATGGTCTCTAGAGATTCTTCCTTCTAACCTATCCATCATTATTGTATATATCTTAACATCAGAAAGCATATTGTCTCCCACAACAACAGGTAGGCAACATCTTTCATAAATTAAGCAAGCTTCTGATTCCCTCTGCAGCACATCACAACTCCCATTGCAAGAAAATGGGGCAACATAGTAAAAATGGTGGGAAAAGACTGAAAAATGACCTTCAATCTACACAACAATAATAACCTTTTTGAGGGAAATCATTTGGAGCGGATATGACTGTAAAGCTAAACAAGCATAGATCTAACCTGTTGTCCAAAAACTCCAAGCATAATTTCCCTTTGATCTTCCATTGCAGCATGTGAAGTACCAAATTCCACGGCAATCCTTGGCAAGGTAGACGGACCATTTTGATTCTCACTCCCATATTTACAACAATTCTCGGACAACTTTCTAGCTGCAAGATCAAGCTGAAAGTTGAGACTTCCATATAACATGCTAAATAACAGAAGCAACATAAGATATGGATGGAGGTCCACAGACCTATCTCCATTTGTTTTTTACTCGTTGATAAATATCCTTCTACACCCCGAACAATATCCCTCTGGAAATGCTGTTAAGCACAAACGCAGCAAGTTAGTTTTGTGATCCATATGCTGCTACCAAGAGGACTATCTTTAATAGAATTTTTTTAACAGGAATCAAAGGATCAGTAAATCTATTCCACCCAAAATGGGAAGGGGTTAGGGTTATGAACTTAAAAGCTGATAATTGAGTCGATTCCATGAGTATAAGTTCATTCAATACCGACCAAGCCGAAATAGGGTTATACGCATAGGGGTCATTCGGGCCTATCTAAATAGATACTATGTTTACGTATGGATCCCCACCTGCATTCCATTTAGGATTAAGAATACGCATCACCGGACCTGCTTTTTACATCTCTATTGGGACCCTATTTCACCTCTTTGAGTTTGAGGACTTTATTAATAGACAAAAAACCATTAACAAAATTGTATTGGTGTTACCTTTGCAGCCCTTGTAGACATATATAAGTCTTGAAGCCGCTGATGAATCTCTAGCTCTGCTTCGTCAACCATCACAGATTCATGGCCCAAGTGCCCCAATTGTCTCAAAATAGCCTAATAAAAAGCAGAATATGAGTTCTTTCATAACAGATGATAAGAACCTACATAAGCTATCTTCATTGAACTATGTTGTAAAGAACTACCATTCTGGTCTGACCCAAGCATATGATCTCACAAGTCTGGACTTTACTTGTTTAATATTGAACTTGAGTTGAGAATTTGGGTCCAGCTACTTATGCAATAACCTTGGCTCAGATTCATAGATAAGCCAAGAAAGATAGATCGCTAACAGTAACAAGCAAAAGATATTCTAGTAATACTACCTACATGTAATAAACCCATTTTGCGTAGGGTTCTTTCTACTTCATTGCTAAACCTTAGTTCAATAAAAACTGCTTCTTGTATTATTACATACATATTTTCTTTTAGTATATAATCAAGGTCACAAATTCCAACTTAAAACAGCAAACATGAAATTATTATCGAAATCGAGGGGCTTCAATCTACGTTGCGCGGACTCTTCGATTTTGGTGCCGTCCCCGTCCCGATACGGGGACGGGAGCGGGAGCGGGATATGTCCCGGATTCGGTCAACTGACTTCGGAAACTTTGACCGGAATCCATCAACAAATTTGGGAGAAAAGTTGAGATTTTTGATTTTGAGAAATCAAAAAATAAAACAGATTTAGGAGAATGAAAGAATAATGTCCATGTTGGAGAATGAAAATGTAAGTTTTTCATAGAATATCTCCCAAAATTTACAATGTTTTTATAGCTCTATTTTTTATTAGCCGAATCCCCGCACCCGTATCCATATCCGGATCCGCACCCCCGAATCTTAAAATTTAGATTTTGCCGAATCTGATACTTGGATCCGTCCCCGTATCGGATACCCGCACCCGAGTCCGAGCAACTTAGGCTTCAATCCCTTTTTTTTTTGGGCCTAAGGGCCTCTTGCCCTACCAACATACCAGAGGCTTTCGGGGCTTACACCTCCCTGTTAAGTACCTAAATAAGGCTTTTCGGGTAGGAAATAAAAGGGAACTAAGGGTACCAAGCAACAGGAGGAGAAAAATAATTACTTCGCCAAATGGAAGTAAATCAAACAAGTTCCCTCCTCATTCCCCCGCCCCCTCTACTTACTTGCTCCAAAGATAACTAATTTTACTCATAGCATTTAATAGAGACCATGCAATTAATGATACTTCAACATGTTTGGCCAAAAGCATAACTCGAAAGTTTCCCGGGAGAATCACCCTTTATCTATTATAGGGTAAACCTCCATCCCCCAAAAGCCCCTAGCAAGGAGAGTAACAGTGGCCCATTCCTACTTCTCTCTCTTGTTGACTCAAACACCCCATCCATATAGTTGGAGATGGCGCCACTAGGCTGTATGTCCCTCCCTTGACTGGAAAATCACCGGCTTAATTTCACTACTGTCTAGTTCGAGTAGCTTGTTATTTCATTGATAGCACAAGAATGTTATTGCCTTGCTACATGGATCACACAAACGGTTCTTAGACTCGTCATCCTTATACTATCCTCACTGAGCTACTTAGGTAGTTAGGCTCCATTCTTTTCTTTCTAATTCTTAAACATATACTACTATGCTATTGCCTGTTTATAGGAAAACTAAAACGCTGCCCAAAGTCCAAAAATAAATTACACAAACAAAATAATCAAGCAATACAGTAACTCAGAATAAGATGCAATAATGGTAATAAAAATGGAATCTTTATCCATTTAAAGAGGAACAACTTCAGCAACTTGATTAAACCTTAACTACAAAAATTAAAACTTTTCTCTACGACCCAAAAATTAAAAAAACCCTTTGATAACTTACCACTTCTCCTACTAAAAATCATTTAAAAACAAAATAAAACAAAACCTGCTGTTGCTTAGCCACTTGCTCCCTCAATTTAGTAGCTTGTTTCTTTATAGCCTCCATTTAGGTCCTTCCAAGTTCTTCCCACAAGTATGTATTCAAAATCTTGAGGCAGACCCACTAAAAGACAAGCAAAAGGGTACTCAAAAAAGGCAAAAGAAAGGTGTTTTACATTACATGGACTTTGGCCCTTTTCTTGGAGCTAGGAAGAGAATCTATCTTCTTTTTTGCTACAGGTAAAAGTTCGGAAAAGGAACAAACATAACAGAAGAGCAACAACCAATAAGAAAAGAGAAAGTGGGGTTGGCAAGAAATAGATAAAAGGACTATGGGACATAGGAGAAAAGTGTCGGTTACTGCTGCTACTGTTTCTGCACAAATTTAACGCCAAAAGGAAGAACAATAGTGGAAAACAGGGGGGAGAAGAATGTTTGACAGCACTTTTCTTTTTTATATATTTTTTATGTATTTGGTAAACACCAAAATGGCGAGCTGTTTATGAGCCAAAATTAGTCATGAGCAATAGTTGGTCATCTTAAAATGTTACTCCTATTTTCGATAGTTTATAAGTACTGTTTGACCAAATATTTTATGTGATATTGCCGTAAACCAGCATGATATTTCCAAAAGACTTGACATAGTAAAAAATTATGCCTACTTTTTTATGTAACATATTTCTATCAAACACACTAATTATTTATTTTTCATTTTAACACTTCGATGTAACTGCTTAGGTATAAAATCAGCTACTCTGAGCCAATAATATAAGAAGAGTAGAGTGAGTGTGTCAAATTTGATGGGTGGGGCAGCGGGTAATGGGGCAGGGCTGGTCTAATTTAAGACCAGATGGACCAATAGCTTTGGATAGGTGTCACGTGTCTGGTCCATCAAGTTAGGGGTATATGCGTTTCAATACTAAGACCGTATGTGCTTTTTTAGCCAAAAGTATAAAGAGAGATAATTTTAAATAATTTCTAATAGTAGAAGGATATTTCAGAACCTTTTTCGAATATTTTATATGATATTGCCTGCTTTAGGTTAAAACTGCATGATTTTTTCCGAAAGACTTTAACAATGTAAAAAGTTATGCTTACTTTTTTATGTCACATTTTCTATCAAACATACTAACTATTTATTATCCGTTTTAACACTTCCATGTAATGTAACTACTTATATATACAATCAGTTACTCTTTTTGTTTCCGATGGATTACATATAAATTAGTTTTAAATGAGTATCTCTTTACATAAGGAATTGAATAAGGAATATCAATTATTTCCATCTTACTTTATACACGCCCCCCCCCCCCCCCCCCCCCCGGGTCACTCTCTGTTCTTTCTCCAATTTTTCTTCTTTTGATGTTCTTAGTGTTTTATCCTTTCATGTTGTATAGAGTTTTAATGGAATTCATTAATAGATTTCAATCGTTTTACTATAGAGTTTTACTTTAACAATTTCCGTTCATGTTGCACAATCGGTGTTTGAATTGAAATTGTTAATCAATAAATTTTGAAGGTGTTTGATTCTCCACCATTGACAGCCATTAAAAAGCTTCGAATCTTTGAATTCGAATTTGGGTTTTTAAAAATTATTATTTGTTTGGATTGGGTATTATTGCAAATAATTGGGAGTATTCTTTGGAGTTTATATCTCAATTTTGATGGTGTTTGGTGAAGATTAGACTTTGATTTTGGCTGAATTTCAGATTGAAACTCGTAGAAGAAGAANTATATATATATATATTATTTGAATGTTGTATGAAAGTTGAAAAATAGTTGTATAATGTATGAATCTTTGTATGAAATTTGTATTTAAGTTATAAATACTATCTTTTTACATAAACTTATTGCTATGTATCAAAATTGTATTAAAAGAGAAAGTTTTGATTGGAATTTCAGAGAGGAAGAAGAACACACCACTTACAAAATATATACAAATCATATACAAAAGACATTGTATAAAAATTGTATGAAAATTGTATTTAAGTTGTATGATGTTGTAGTTGTATTTAATTGGATAATAATAATATATGAAAGTTGTAGATAAGTTGTATAATATATAATTAGTCGTATGAAATTTGTTTTTAGTATGTATATTGTTACAGATATATCAAATTTGTATTAAATTTGAATATTCCGACATTTAACTTGTGTGATTAAGGTGATGCATGTCTATCGTGAATGTCTCTAATATTGCTTTCGGTTCTCCTTGTTCCTCTGCCGCCTCCCTCCTGTTCCCCTAATTCAAACAAACCATAGTGGCATTCCCATTAGAGTGAAATGACCACTTTTATTCGTATTTTGCAGATCACTCTTTCATTGAGAAAGTAATTGTGTTTGAACTTATGGCGTTCTTCTTCTCGAGTTGATACGAGTCATCCTGATTATATTGCAAAGTTGAATCCAAGATCCATTCTTCATGAAAGTTTTGAGATAGATGCTGATATATATTGCATTAGAAATACACAACTTATACAATCATGTGTGCGTCTTGCGGATGATGAGCGTCCACATATGGACACTGCCTTTGATGCATTGGTAAGCATCGCCGGAAAACCATGGCAACAACCTCATTCTTGGGTTTTCCTTCTTTAGCAAATCAAGCGAGAAAAGAAGTACACGTGGTACAATAAGGTATAATTGAATCCCCTAATTTATGGCATTAATAATAGATGGTATACGGAGAGACGCGGCAGAGAATATGAAAAGAGGAGAGGAGAGAAAATAGAAAAATGATGTAACTGGATCCCCTAATTTAAGGCATTAATAATTGATTGCATATAAATTGTAAGCAATCCTTGTTTAGAGCGGGTAATATATAAAATTAGGATAATTTTGATAAATAAATTTCAAAAATTATGTAGGAATAAAAAAATCTCTTTATTTATTTGATTTTTTAACTTTTGATCCTTTGTTAGCAAAACGACGAGTACAAAGCATATATAGAGTAGATGAAATTTCTACTCTCTACCTCACTAATTCCTTTTCGAATGTCTTAATTTGATATCATTTTTCAAAAGAGTATTTTTCTCATTTCAGACGGATCCACCACATTAGTTGCACGACTTTTTCTTATAAGGATTCCCTTTCATAAAAATCTGATAATCTTTTAATGAAAAGTTGAGTATGACTGACGATAGAGTGACTAGAGTTAGAGATGAAGTGTGAATACTATATATAATTAGAATTGTCATTTCCAAAAGCTATTAGTCATTTTAAAAAAGTAAGCATGTTTTAACATATTTAATCATTTAAAAAATATATTTTCTAGATCTTTCTGTAACAACTAAATTTCGTTCCTGAAAAATAATAATCAAGACAAAAAATATAGCGACAAATATTATATTCAATTTCAAGTGATAGGGTTACAATCTCTAGAATATCTCGAATCTAAAGAGATGTGGTCCTCTGATTCTTCTCCTCACGAATGATGGTTCAAGAGCTTGAGAGTTTGATCTTGAACTTGACGGATTTCAAATTTGCTGTGCGTCACGAACAACTTGAAGCTCGTCACGAACCAAGATTTGTTGTTGGGTTATCACGAACGGAAGATTTGAAGCCGCCCGCTAATGATTTGAATTCGCCTTTGGAATTTGACCACAGGCGATGATTGCAGATATGGATGGAGACCTTGATGCTATTCTTAAGAGCTTCTTTAGTCTTTACTTCGGCTTAGTTGCTTGTCCTCTAGCCTTCTCCTTTGACCCCTTTATATAGGTGTAGGATGGAGTAGTCTCCAAGAAAGCCCTAGTGGGTCATTGGGCTTGAAGCTCATGGGCTGACCCATTTGATAGAAGACCAACTATGGGCTAGCCCAATAGAATATTGGACCTTTATTTAAATCAATTTAATTGGATTTAAATAATTGACCCGATCATACTAGCCCATAATATTTATTTTGACTAGTATATATTTAATTTTTGATAAAATCCAAATTTCTTATAAATTTAAATTTAGTAAAATTTTAATTGTCTACAAATAACCCTGCTTTAAGGCTTGTCCGGTTGTAGGCTTGTCGAAGTCAAAGAGAATACTTGAAGCACTAAGGAAAACAATGTCCTTTTATGAATCACTTAACCAAAGATGTACCAAAGTGAACCATCTTATTTTGTTCTCCATTTCAGGGAAGAATTTAGTTGCGACATCTACGTCGGTAAATTATATCATGATAACCACATTGCATCTTGACTGCTTACATGCTATGCGAATTAACCATAAATGTGAAACTAAGCAGTAGTATTACCAAACTCCTAAAATGACTCGGCATGTCGCACAAGTAATTTTAGTCCAAAATAAATTATGAAAACAAAGGGATGAACTTAAATTTATTAAGTCAAACCCATTTTATGTAGGACCAAGTAAAGACTAGCAAATTTGGTTGGAATTCTCCTGCACTTTTTGAACCAAGAACACTTCCCTTTCCCGACTCATAATTGCCTCATATTTATTTTTGTTACTTTGTAAGGCTTCCCAAATCCTGATCAACAAGGAATTACTCTTTCCTTGAAAGGAAAATTCTTGTAGGTCAAGAAAACACAACCACCTTGAAAAAGCTATAAATAAATGTGTTCCCCTAGAATTCTTCATCAATGCTTCCTGCAATTCTCTTTTTCCGTGGGCAAGAATTTTGGCTTGGGAAGATTACTTATCACTTTTGGCCTCTTTCTTTCCTACGTTTGCAATGGCTTCCTTTTCTTATTCTTTTTGTAAACCATAAACTTCAATGATTGTACAAGAGGAATATGCACTTCCTAAGACTGCTAGCCATAGCCTCATAAAGGGGAGTGTGTAATTTAATTGCTATGGTTGCAAAATAATGTTTCAATCTGATGATTTTCTTCTTTGTTGCAGAAGCTGTCCGGGACCGTCAGCTTTGCACGTCTGTGGAAAACAATTCATATCTCATTGTAGGTGTAGGAGCGTCGAAATTGCGAGCCGTTAGATTTTCCGA